TCTCAGAAGATTTAATTAGAGCTCTGTGACCTTAACATATTTTGAGAGGCTCTCTGGCCCTTCTTGGGGTCACCGCCAGTGTATTTACTTTTCTGCTTTAATCAGCCAGCATTCCTCTGCTGTTTTTTTTGTTCCTACAATTCTGTGAACATTTTGGAGGCCGTTGGTGTCTTCCACCGCCCAGTCACCACCCAAACACAAATGCTGATAAGCAGCGAAGCAGCGATGAAAGCGGAACACAGACTCAAACTCAAACTCAAGCGACATTATCATAATTGCTTATGCTTCATTACATATTTGCGGGCGAGTACATGGCGGTCATACAGATAGGCTTGAAGCAAGATTGCCCCGTGCTCTCCTAGCAACCCGAAAACCTAACCAAACACGGTAGTCAAACCCGCTTTTGTCGACCAAAAAAAAAAAAAAAAAACGAGAAAAACACAAAACCCATAATCATTGAATAAACAAGCTGATAAAACAAAAGCCACATAAATAAGCGCAAATATTTGAGACTGGCAACGAGAGCAGACTTTCATGTGCCCACACATAAGTGCAGATAAAGATAGAGATCGCCAAAGCCAACTCAAAAGGAACCAATAAATGGGGTAAACTTAAAGACGGGAAAAACCTCTATAAATTAAATATTGCAAACTCAGAAAAGATAAGGAAAGAAAACATTGTTAAAGAATTATGATCACAATAAGAATATGTCTTAAAATTAAATAAGTTTTTTCTGTTTTGAAAAGTAAGTAAGTAAGTTTATAAACCACAAAAAGTTTGTATTTGTACATACCTATCTCTTCTAATAAGTATTAAGTAGTACGTTAATATTATTTTATTATTAATTATGTTTTTTGCGGTGTAAGAATAGTTAGAAACCAAATCAGACTCTTACTCCAACTCCGATTTCGAGTCGGATGCAGACGGGATCTTATAAGACTTTAGTAGCCGCTTTAGTCGGTCGGACTAACGGTTACAGTCCGCCCCAAAAAAGGGCATGGTCTCCGCGGACATGGAGCAGCAACCCATCCGCATTTAAAAATCATCGCCATGTGTGTCCACTTTTTTCCTCCTCATCTGTTATATTTTTTTCTCCTCCTGGCCCCGTGACTTGGCGATTTTATTTTCGCTCCATTTGTGGCCATAAATATTCAGTCAAGTGTCATCGTTGTGGCATGTCTAGTGGAGTTTGAAATGAAATAGATGCAGGCAACTCTGGTGGATATGCTCGTATGTATGTACAAAAAAACAGAGAGCCAAGCATATGAGAAGGCTTAAAACGAGTTAAGTCACTTCTGTGGTCGCGACCAAGTGGCCTCCTCCACCAACAACTCCGCCTCCAGGTCCGCGGTTCTCTGGTTCTCCGGTTCTCTGGTCCTCTAAGCCACAAGTCGCCCCCCCTTTCCCCGCTCCCATTTTGAACCGCTCCCGGACTTTCAACTGCCTGCCAATTGTGGCAGCGGCAAAGATTTCGTTCGCTGTTGTGTGTGACCGCAGCTGAGACCCGCAGGAGGTTTACACAGAAAAAAAAACCTTATACAAAGAACAAAAAAACATTATTTTAACAGGTAGAAAAATATTCCATTGTGTGAAACCCCTATTCACAAATATTTATTATCATAAATAAAAATATTTATGGTATCTATTTTAGGTAGAAAAAAAGAAGCTTTTATATTATTTTAACATATTTTTTATTTTATATTTTTTACATTACAAATACCATTTTGTTTTCATTATTATTATTCTTAAATTTTGTTCTTGTGCATCAAAATAATAAAAAATATCGCTGGAGAACCGAACCATGTGGCCAACACAGATGGGTCAGACCCCAAAGGGGGGGAATTTGTGGAGGAGAGCGGCTGTGGTCGTTGTAGCGGGTGTTAGGGCAAAGTTATGGCGTTGGCAAAAGCATTCCACAAGAGCTTAGCAAAAAAGGAGGGAATCGTGCTGCGTGGGAGGTTCAATGAAGTTATCTTCGCCGAAGATGAATAAATTTCGCCAAGTGTTGGCATAACCTGTGGACAGCCAAAGGATGTAGATTATCGTCGATAAGCACGAGGGATTGTTAAGCGGTGATGTCATGGCAAGATAAATTAAGATTTCAGTGCGGGACTTAAGGCAAAGTCTTGAAAATTAAAGCTGGATATGATTGCCACTGCAAAAAGTTTAGGAGAAGCTCAGGTTATGGAAATTTAGAGAAGACATCTTCTCTTTAGTTAGACCCGTCAATTGAGTCTTGATTGCAACTACTTCAACGGCCCTCGTTGCTTAGGAAAAGCACTCACGGAAGTGCAATGCATGTAAAAGTCATGAATATGATGAAGTATTCAAACCATCTACAAAAACACTCATACGCACACATGCTCCTCAACTCCTTGGCACAGGAAGTAGCCAGGATTAACTGGCCACTTGAACACGATTAAGAGCGAAAGGGACAGAGAACCTTGCATAGAAAGAGATGGCTAGAAGTGAGTTATTGAGATGCCGGTAGAAGATATTGAGATTACTAATCATTGAGCACTTATCGGGCAATGAACATCAGTCTCGCACAGATAGATAGAATTATCTCCGTCTCTAGCTCTCTTGTTCTTGCAATCTATCTCTCTCCTTCTACCACTTAACCCCTCTCTTTCTACCACCTTACGTCTCTCTCTTTCTATCAACTCAATCACTCGCACGTGCTTGCGGGTTAAAGCGGTTGTTCACGCTCAATTTGCATACGTTTCATTTAGCCGGTGAACATTGCTCTCCATCCATCTCTTCCCACCGCTCGCTACCTCTCTCTTTCCCTAAATTATTGCCTGAATTATACATTTGTTTCTTTTCGGTTTGCTGGATTGCTCAAAGTGCACGGCCAGGTCACGTTTTTGATATTTCATTCAATCAAAACAAATTGCTCTGGTCCAGAGCCCCTGGTTCACCGCTCTTAAATAAATAAAAAAAAAAATACCACAACAATCTAAATAAAAAAAACGAAATTTCCCGACCAACCCAATGGCAAAATCTTTTTTTGCGGTTAACTTATTTCAGCGCTCAGGTCGTTAGGCAAACGACCGTAAAAAATGCCCAGATCGTAAAATAGGAATTAGATTAAACATCATAAAAATGCAAGTCCCGGTCACTTAGATTCTACGCCCAAAAAATTGCGGCGGATGTGGAGCGTTTGGGGGCGTGGCCCTGAGGAGTTTAAAAATTGCCAATTCTGGGCAGGCACTTTGCTAATTGACAATTTCCAACTGGAAAAGAAAAACTTTTTCGCCGCTCTTTTGTCGTTTCCTTTTGTAATAACCCAAAGTCAGTCATTTCGTCTAAGCCATTAAAAAATTAATTGGCTGCCTTCCCTTCGGGCGAAACACGCCCCATACATCGCACTAATGCCGCTTTTAGCCAAGTTAAATGCTTCCCACCCAGAACAAACGTCGCAGAAGAACAAGCTAAACAACGCACAATGGCTAGAAAAAAAAGGGCTTGTCGTCCTCGTGGTTGGAAAAACCTGAGAAAAACCAACTGAAGAAAATGGAAACGGAAAGTAAAGAGTTCTTGGACACCAAAAATACCCTGAAACTAGTTTACCAATCAAGCGATAATCCATTTCAAGTTATTTTATACGTTTTTGGTATTTCCTGCTATTTACTTTTTAAATATTTCAATGAAATATGTATTTAATTAATCAGCTTTAGTTAGCTAACTTGGTTAGAATAGTATCCGGCAATTTTTCCTTCATCATTTCAAACTTCCTGTAAAATATAAGTAGGTATACCCTTTTTTACCCTAGGGCACTTGAGAAAACGTTTAATCTCGCCACAAACTTCTAATTTTTATTGCCTCGCTCTGTCATTAGGTTTTTGTTTCTATTTTTCCAACAGTTTGTTTTTGCCCCGTCAGTTGTTTTGTTCGAGTGGCTCGCCAATTGCTTGGCTGACCTTTTGTAGGAACCTCTCCAATTATGAGGTTTTGGAACGAGTATCTCTCTCACTCAATTTGGCGCAATTTGTACGAGTATTTTGTTTTTGCCAAATTCGTTTCATTGTTTATTGTTTACGCGGCGTGGGTTGACCAATCTGACGCAATCATTGGATATTTTTGGCTTACTAAACTTACAATATATATATCAGAAATACATACCCAGACATATGTGCCGCAGATTGTGAGCGAATAAGATAAGATTTTGTAAATAATTCCCACTTCCGCTGTGCGGCGACCTTCCGGAACCTGAACAATTGGTATCAATTAGTGCGGCAAGTGATTCACTCTAGAATTCCTAATTGATAAGTCAAAAGGTTCTGATTAAGCTCAGACAGACTATAAATTATTGGTCGGGGTAAACAAATGAGCCATGCTGCAGTATTCCCTCTTTAAAAAGCTGTCGGGAGCTCACGTTTCTCACATCAGTTGAAGGCATTTTTATGCACTTCATTTATGAATGACAAGCCTTCATCTCTTGCAATTCTTTTTTTTCCCTCCACCAGAGAAATGCGCAAACTGGGGGAAAAGGAGCCCGGAGAAAGGGTCCCGGACAACCCTTAACCGTATAAACTGTCCATCCTGCCACTCCATCCCGACAGTGTGCAAAATTTTAATGAGTTGGAAATTTAATACCCAGAGAAGATTGCAATGCGACGGGGGTTTCGACTGCGGTAGGTCAGCCCACCGAAGCGAAAACGATTCAATTTTGCTCCCAGCGAACTCTTAAATTTTTCATGAATTTAATTGAAATTGAAAAAGAAAAATGAGAACGAGTCAGACAGAAAATCACCTTGAACTTGCCGTCTCGAGAATGTCGTCATTTGATTTTAGTTTGCAAGCCTGGAAAATATACTGAGCATCTGAGTCAATTTCGTATCAGAAATTGTTGCTTCCGCTTTTTCTTCGCACAATGCGCAATTTTTCTGAGATAAATCTTTCCAGCTCAGTCGCAGTTTATATTTATGCCCATTCTTAAGAAATTCGCCAAGCAAATTTTGATTAATATTTGTATTCCTTTGCTCTTCTCTTTACAGTTTCCTACTCTGCAACATTTTTATCGACCGGAAACGTAAGTTGCCAAATAAAAATCATTTGACATGTTGGGCTTAACCCAATTCCTTCCTTCAAGCCATTTAAACTTGAATGCTGAAGTTTTATTGCGTCATTTCATGTGCGACTCATTTTCATTATCATTGCGATTTCAAGTCACATGATCTTAAATCCCGTTTACGGCTCTAATAATAATTAGCCGGCAACGAGTTGGAAACTCGTTAAAAATCCTCCAATGAGTGTTCCTCCGTCTCTTTCTCACCCTATCTCTGTTAATAGTGCCATCTTGCTCTGTGGGAGTTCTAATTGTAGTTTAACTCTCGGAAATAATTTACGATGCTTGAAAGTTTTTGTAGCTCTTTGTTTTGGCTTTCAGAAGGTTTCTGCAGCTGAGCAGTTTTGGTTTTGGTTTTTGGTTTTGGCTTCTACCTGACGGTCAGAAAATTCTGGGAATTTTTAAATTGCATATTGAGTAGCAGATTTTTTTTTAAGCCAAAAAGGGGACAGACTGATTTATGAATGGCACAGTGGCTTGATATGAAAATTGTGCGAAAAAGTTAAAAGGAAGTGGTGATGAAAAGCACATACAATAGCGGGTAAACATTTTTGCAGTTTAAAGCAATTTGAGTTGAGTTCCATTAACTATATTAAATTTCTCGATTTTCATTGAATTTAATATTATATATATAGATTTTGAAGATTACCAAAAGGCCATCAAGCTGATATTGTCATTGCCGTTCCATTTTTATTCGGTGTCACCTTCATTTACTGTTTATTCCTTGTCAATATTTTCATTTTCCGCTGCTTTCCACTGATTGCACATGCAATTCTCGATTCTCCCGTAATGCAGGTATATTACAAAAATGCACTTTATGCAATCGCATTGGCGTGTCAATCCTAAGTTGCTTATAATCACAACTGAACGATGGAATATACATACACTCGTTCTCTCTAGTTACCCAACTGTATCCGAAAGATACTCACATTTAGCGATCTATCTTAGCTAGACAATAACAATTTGCAAATAGCTGTAAATGAGTTGAGTTGAGTAAAATTAAGTGGAGAAGATTCTAAGGGGTTTTTCTGTCCGGTTCTTTGGAACTCGATCGTGCCTCCGAGATACACACATGTGACCTCCAAACAGACGACTTGGCTTCTCGATGGTGGGAAACAAAACTTTGCATTGATATGGGAATTAAAAATAATTATGACGTCGTTTTTGTTGTTGTTCCCCAAGTTGCACAGTTAGGTGTTCGTTATTATGCTATTTTTGTTGATCTTCGGATTTAAGGCTTTGTTGATTTTCCATAGCATGACATCATCCAGTCAAATTGCAGCGAACTTCCTTTTGTTTTTCTCTCTCTCGCTCAGCCATTTAATTTATTTATTTTACGCTTTACGAGCGTTTTATTTGGCTCATCATTTATTAAATTCTGCGCTTGGGGAGTGAGGAAGATTAATTAAGCGTTTTAATCTTTGATTTATGGAGCTCCAATGTATTTATTTTGGGTGGTCGCTTTTAGCCAGCGGCGTTGTAAACATAGAAGGGTTATTATTTAAGCGCAGCATTTATTCAGAATTTGTGTTTGCTTAAAATTATAAACAAAAGCCAACGATTTGCCAAACACAAACATTGTATAAATTTGTGACTGTTTTTTTTTTGTGCAAAAACCAATTTATTTAAGCTTAATATGGCAGTCAGACAGGCCTAAAATTGAATTATACGACGCGTGTCCGCACAGAGACCACAAGCATTTCTATATTTCAAATGCTTTTTCTAGAAAGATGGGGCCGTTTTCAATTTCCATTTATCAAAAAGCTACCATAAATAAACAACCATTACAAAATTTATTAAACGTTTTAAATTAAATTAAGTGATGTATAGAAACGCTTTGCTTATCATCAATTATTTCTGCTTTAAATATCTGAATTTAAAACCAAGCCTTCACTGCTTATAAATGGTGTGCAATACTTTTCATACTTCCCATTTTTTTGTACAATTCAAAATGCAATTCAACATTCATTTTTCAGATATCCACCGACAGGTGCAATCCATACCACATTGCTTTACTTTAAGTCTGGTTTTTTGTCGGACTTTTGTAAAGCTTGCCGCAAAAATGCGTTTAGGCCGCCTCAATGCAATCAGGCTGCAGTTTTTTCTTTTTTTTTTTGCAAAAAGAAAAAAAATTACAGTTGCGTAGCTGGCTAAGCCCACAAAACCAGCGATGAACAGATATCGAAAATTGGGTTAAGCAACCTGTACAGGCCAGGTGTCTGGTCTTTGTGCCATTGCCTATGTTGGTGTATCTGTCACCAGATCCACTTCCACTATTTCTGTTTTTCTGTTTCGCTTTTTTGCTTTTTTGCTCAATGAAAATGAAAGCAGGCCTCGGTAATCAAGAATACAAGTGGGTCGAAGATTTTCGCCGGCGCGTGAAAGTGAAAAGCTGTGGAAAAGCTGACCGAATGCTGATGACTACACTTACTTTTGGGCCCCCTGATGGCCCCCCATCTCATTACAACTAATTTGTTTATTTTGTTTTGCTGTAAGGTTGGGTGTCAACGTGGGAGAATCACAGACTGCGATGAGAAAGTCCAGTGTTTGTCTACAGAGAGAAATGTCTAGAAAATATATATTTCAACTTAAGTAATCTTTTAAATAATAAAAAGTTCATTTTAGTATAGAAGCACATGAACACATTATTTTAATTAATATTTAGGACGTCGTTTAAAATTGAAAGCTGATAAGAGTCATTAGCAATTCCAGACAAATTCAGCTATTTTTAAAAACGAATGATTGCTTGTCAATTTATATGTATAAAGCAAATAAATTTCTATCGCTTACAGTATACACTTTGAATATATTTAAATGGAGTGGTGATATTCAGCAAATGTACGACATATACCGTAGATATTTTTCTCCATGTGCCATGTTAGCTTTCCATGTTTGTTTCCCCCCCGAAAGGATCGACCAGCTCATTTGCATGACAAGCTGCCGGAAGCCGGCGCTCAATTCACGCAACATGCCCCAAAACAAGATTGGATTATTCGTGTGCATATTCGTATATATGTATATATTTTCCTGACTCGGCTGCTTAGGCTTCGAGAGACAAATCACTTTTACCTGTTTACGTCTGTCGTCTGCCACTTGGGTTACATATCATCCGCAGATACTGGGTCTATAAGTGGTGGTCACTTTGGGCGGTGTCCCTCGTTTTTTCTGGCTTTCTACCCCAACCAGTTTTTCGGTTTTTTTCGTACATACCTTTTTTTTTTTGTTGCCGATTTATTGGCAATAATCATTTAGAGTTTATACAAATTGCATGAGCGAGGGGAAAGTCGTCCACTTGAATTGGCTTTACTATATATACCCATATCTATATCTTTGATCGCTTCTATGCATTTTATTTCTGTGTAAAGGCGTTGGTCCCAACTTCACTCGAGTGGAACCTTAATTAAAGCCAAGATTTGCCGCTGCGGCACGATTTTCTTTTGAAATTGAACCACATTGTTCAGGTCGGCGACTATCATTACGTTTGGCCAATACCATAATTGTTCAGATTATGGGCGAAATGCGTTGGTTATATCAAGCTCCATTTAAATTACGTGAAATTATAGCACAGAAATTTATTTTCATGGGAAACTTGGTTACCTGGTATGAGATTTTCACTTTAAAATATACCTACATTTTAGTTTGCTCTAAAGGAATTGTGATTTTAATGCTCTGGATCAAGACACTTTGTCATCAGTAGTTTAGTTTGTGACAGAAGTTTGACGCTCAATAAAAACTAAGAGGAAAAACTTAATATTGACAATAAAAAAGTTCCGCATAGAAAGCTATTTATACTTAATTTACTTTTTTTATAGAGAAGAAAAGTTTATATTTTCGTCAGCCAATAAAGGTGACTATTAAATTTCTTTTAAATTTGGTGACACTTTTTAAACGTATTTTATGACAGCAGGTATTGAAGTTCTTTTCTCTCCTTTTTCGTTTGAACCATATTTTTTTTTTAATGCTAGTTTGTCGATTTGGTTCGCCAGTAGTTTTTTTGTGGCCAACGCCAAAGTGTAATAAACGACAGTTGCCATGGCAGCAAAAGCAAATATTCTGCGACTGATGGGGAGTCCATTGTTTAAGCGTTGTCAATATGAAAAACGCATAAATCTTGCTTGTGGTTTGGTTTTTGGGGGGAGAAAAATGGAAGGGCCTTCAAAAATGTATTCGCATTTGCTCCACTTATTGAAATAAATTTCTGTGATCCATATTCAGGGCATGTCACGTGATTTGATGAAAGTCAAACTCAATTTTGCTGCTTTCGTCACGAAATTTATATTTCCCCTACACACACACTATATTACAATCATGGCAACATCGATAAAATTAAGGCTTGGCTGGTTTTCAACGTTGGCAAGTAAATTGCAAGTTTTTGTGTGTTATCCCCAAATGTTCTTTTCTTATCGACGAGCAACTTGATTGGAATGCGGTTTGATTGGTTTCTTCTTCGGATAAATCTCGTACAAGAGTTTTTAATTATTTCGGAGAGTGTTGGCCAAAAAGGAAAGGAATGTTTCCTGCCGCTTTTGAGTTATGCGATGCCCCTCTGCGAAAAAAATTGGAAACTTGTTTTAGGCCTTGCGAACAGGAAACACGCGACTGAAATCAGGTTTTCTTCGAAGATAACGATTTTTTTCGGCGTGGCAGGTGAACGAGAACTTGTTCTCCTGTTTACACGAGTTCGCTAAAAGGAAAGTTCAACTTTTATCGGAAATAAAAATGATTTTTACATACGCAAATTAAATGTTAATTCGGCATTTGCAAAACAAACATTCGACGACCTTAGCCAAATGTGATTTCGCACTTCAGATTCGACTCACGTTTCCGAGTTTTTGGAAGCCCTTGAGCCAAAAGTCCCTCGAATGTCTATATAATCCCCATCCCCCCCAAAAATCGAAAACAAGTGCGAGCATGACATTTAAAATTTGACCAACACTTTTCAATTGTTCCCATGAATTGCATGC